ATGCATGTCATCACTGCATCATCCTGTTTTTTCATAGTTAGAGTAGACTTGCCAGGTTTTACTTTTTGAATCTAAGAGACTGTTCCCAATATATAGATAGGGTAGGGTCCCTAGGCCTGGCCCCATGATCAGGATCATCTGTGGGGCAACTGGTGGGCAGGAAGATTGGGGGGGCCCCCGCTGGCACCTGACTGGGCTGGCAGCCTGGTGCTTCCCACCAGCCGGCCCTGCCCCCCTATCACTGCCGCTGGTTGCCTCCCTCTTGGGGGGCAGATGCTCAACACAGAAGCTGCTCCCCTGGTGGTTAGTGCATGTCATAGCAACCTGTCGTTCCACCTGTAATTCCACCAGTTGATCAATTTGCATATTAGGGTTTAATTATATAGGAGAACCAGGTTATTATAACAGCTATTGAAAAATCCAATCAAAATATGATTTTCTTTTCATTATATGTAAGGTGTCATTTTTCTTTTTTTATTATTCCCTCTTTTTAATTGATATGTAAATCATTTGACAGTTTTGTGATTGATCAGAAATACTTCCTAATATCACCAATGTGCTAGCAACCTTAAAGCGTTTTGTTTTTACCTAGATCCCCAGAGAACTTTCTTCTTTTACAGTAATGTCTAGTAATTTTAATAGAATATGTCTTGCATTTGGTTGTTTTGGATTTGTTTTCTATCTATAGTATGCTTGATCAATTAACGTCACCAACTGTGCTTTTTTACTTCAGGAATTTTTTTATTGAATTACAGTTCTTAATATTTGTTCTGTTCTCTTTTGGTTTCAGGGTCTGCTATTATACATTGTTGGTTCTCCTTTGCCTATATTCAACATTCATCACATTTTATCCAATCCTTTTTATGTCTTTTCTCATGAGGACACATTGTCACTTAGTTTTCTTTAAAATGTTGTCCAGTAAATTTTGATTCAGCTGTATAAATTTATCTATTAATAGAGGCCCAGTGCATGAATTCGTGCATGGATGGGGTTCCTTGGTCTAGCCGGCAATCAGGGCCGTTTAGGGCCATCTCACACAGTTCTGAGCAGGGCCGATTGGGGCATGCTGGCTGGGGGGAGGTATGGAGGGAGGGATCATGGGAGCTTGGCTGGTGGCCAGGGGAAGGGTCTGCATGAGGTTGGTTGGCAGCTGGGAGAAAGGGACTGCAGGAGGTTGGCCAGCCAGACCCAATTGGGGCAGACCAGGGGCGGCCAGCTGGGGGTGGGGCTAGCACAGGGGGGAGGGACTACGGGAGGTTGGTTGGCCATGGGGTGGGACTGGGGGAGGTTGGCTGGTCATGGGAGGTTGACTGTGAGAGCACACTGACCATAAGGGGGCAGCTCCTGCATTGAGCATCTGCCCCCTGGTGGTCAGTGTGTGTCATAGCGACTGGTCGACTGGTTGTTCTGGTCATTCGGCTGTAACAGTCACTTATGCTTTTATATATACAGAGATTATGTGATAAATAGTTAAGTTTATAAGCTAGTCCGCACCTGACATTTTCTGATTCCCTTTAGGGTGTCATTTTTATATATAAGAAAATTTTTTGTATTATTTAAAAGATGGTTTTTAAATTTCCAAAAAATATTCAATTAAATTTCAGTGTTACCAGAGAATGTGGCTTGCATGATAGTTATTATTGAAAGTTTTGGAGTTTAAATTATATTATATGCTCAATGTTTATTAGTGTTTCATTTATGCTTCAAAAGAATGAGATGTCATCATTATGTATTATAGTTCTTTACTTCTTGTATTTTGTTTAATATATTACTTAATATTATCTAACTATATCAGTTTTATTTAATTATTATTTGGTTATTACTTTTTTTCCTAGATTTTTATAATTAAACTTCTCTAGGCTTCCATTTTAATTAGCTCTCATATACATGATATATTGCTAACTTTTAAAAATCTACTCTTTAGGTTTAAACGGAGTGCTTAGTCTATTTAAATTTATTGTGATTATAAAAATATTTAGACTTACTCTGCCACCTTGGTTTATTTTTCTGTTTGTTTCAACTTTTCTCTCTTGTTGCTTATCATTATTTGTGTTCTCTTTGAAATAGATAGAATTTTTTTCAGTACATATTTTTCTTCAATTTGTTCAAATAATTCTATTCAAACTGAATTATGTTAGAGATGCCACTAGATATTTTGCTATTTAAAATTAGTATTAAAAAATCTAAATTAATTGGTATACTGAATTTTTTACAATGATAATAAGATACCATGGCATTGTAACTTTACCCATAATTTTATAATTTACATGCTTTATTATTCTATTAATTAGTTTCTACCTGAAAGTTTTAACAACTAAAAATAATTAGTGTAAGTATAACTTATAAAATATTTATTTAGGTGTTATAGAGATATTTTACCTATACATCAATGTCATTAATCTAAACAATAATTTGAAACTACTTCAAGATGATAATATTTAATATGAATGAAATTAAATTTCTCCTCTAAGTCTGAGTTTGCACATATTGTGCCAGCTGCCTCTTCCAGGATCTCGTCTATTCACATGATACTTGGTAACATATTTTATAGTGTTGTGAAGATATATCTACTATAAAATTTATTTAGGGCCATTTTTTAACTTCATGTCAGGTTAGCACATAATAATTTATTTACCATTTTTCAACTTCTTATTTTTGCTAAAGGATGCAGTGCTGATGAAAATTATTCTATATCTTTCTGTACAGTTTTTAAGGATTTCTCTAAGATATACTTACATGTAAAATTTAAAAATGAAAGACTATTTGAATTTTTTTTTAATTGCATTTATTGAGGTGGCATTGGTTAATAAATTATATAGGTTTCAAGTATGCAATTCTATGATACATCACCTGTAAATTGCATTGTGTATCCACCACCCAAAGTCAAATCTTCTTCTGTCACCATATACTTCCCTCTGGTAATTACCATACTGTATTTAATATAGTTGAAGACCTAGTTTCTTGTGTTTGTAAGACTGTTAAGACCCAGATCTCTTGCTTAGAGAGATTTGTATCACTGCCTACATATAATTCTTGACAAATTATTAGCTTTTGATTACCACTCTAATTTTAAGTTTCCTCCTTTATTTTATTTCAAAGGATTGTATCTATCTCTGATATACAATTAGAATTATTTCTTAAATTTAATATTCTTAAGTGTTTTTTTATGTTGTTATTGGTGCTTTTAGATGTATTTGTATGAATATGAGGGTTTTTAGAGGAAGGAGTGTTTCATATTGCAAGATATAGAAGTGTGCTTTTCTATTTTTGTAGTTTTAAAAAATTGTATTCAAAATGCAATGAATGCTCATACAAGTCAAATAATACACATTGATTAAAAAACAAACTTATTTTCTTCCTCTCTCAGTTCTATTCACATAACAAAGTTAAAGATAAGTTTTAAATTATCTCCCCCCCCCTTTTTTTTTTACTTGATTGCTGGTTCTTTGGCCTTTCTCCTTCTCTCCTGAACACAGCCTTTTCTAGAATCTCCCTACCCTACTGTTCCAGGAAGGGCACCTCCCTTTTCTGCCGTGACTGGGGGTGTCTGGTATATGCCCCATACGTGGAATTGTCTTGTGCCAAGAGCCTGACATCCTGGGCTGAGAAAGCCCTGTCCCGGGACTACATGCTGACAGGCCGTTCCTCCCTTGTCCTGTATTGGCCCCTCTTGCCCTTGTGTCAAGAGGGACCCTCTTCTCACAGTCCATTTGCAGGTGAGGGGAGCCCAAGGCAGGTGCTGGGCGTGGAGGCCACGAGGGCATAGGCTACCAAGGAGACAGAACTGAACCTCTTGCAGGGGGGCGCTGCCCCTCTCTTATTCGCACACCTCACATCACCCTGCTTGGCCCTGGAGGATGGCTGGTTAGCCAGAGACGGGTAAGATTCCTCAGGGAAGGAACAACCTAAGACAGGCACAGTCTCAGAGGGGCCATCAGGAGACAACTTGGGGGTCATCAGAGGTGGGGCACAGACCCTCACCCCCCCAACTTTGCAGAGGCCTGAACCCTAACCCCTTCTGAGGGAGGTCTCCTGCCCCCATGGCTGCTTTGCTTCCCATGCTCAGCTCAGATCGGGACCCAGGTAAAGACAGAGACTACCTGACAGCAGCTGCCCTCTCACTGCAACAGGACTTGTTTCCCATTTCTACCTTGGACCACAGGGAAAGGGGCAGCTGAAGGAAAGGGCTGTGTCAGGATGCTGCCTTCTTCCCTTTCTTCTCCCTCTTTTTTCTAAACACTTCCATGCCTTGTAGTTATTTTGCTTTCTCTTCTTTTTCTCTCTACTACCCTCCATCTCTGCCTCATCCTCCTCCCCCGTGTCATCCATATTGGGTGACCCAGAGGGCACAGCTGACTCCTCCCCGGACACCAACACCACCATCAATTGCGGCCCTGATGGACCCTTTGATCCAGCCCTTCAATGCACTGACACTTCGGGAAGCCTGGCGCCAATGACACTGCCTGCTAGCCAGATTAACAAGGACAACCAAACCACCGACTTGAGGACAGCTGAAATCCCTTGACTGAAGAAGCCAGCAATCTTCTACAGGAACAAGGCTCCGTGTGCACTCCATTCACTATGTTTATAGCTATGCTCGCTATCATTGCTTGTCAGTCTTCTTCCGAGTCTTAAACAGCCCAATCCGAGAGGTGGCTGCTGATTTACACGTGCTGTCATTTAAAAAATAAAAAAGGGGGAATTTTCCGGAAGCCAGTCCACCCTTGCTGCTTGACACAGTCACTGCAGGGAAGAAACATCTGCACAGCTTATGTTTCAAGGAACCTGGCATATATGGCATATGTTTTCTCCCCCTCTTAATGCTATGTGTCTCCACATTTATTACATATGAACATATACATATCTATACGTGTATGTACCATAAAGAATATTTTATTTTTATATGAACATGTTGTCAAATTATAAGCATTTCATACTTTATTTTGTTTAGTTAACATAAATGACATTTATCATAGAACAAATGAATCATAAGGTGTTAAAGAAATGAAATTTTATTCAAAGTAGTCCCAAGCAATGTGAGAATCTGGCTGATACCTAGAATTCAACAAAGAATATGGAAGGAGAATATCTCTGAAATGCCACTCAGTTTGATGTTTTTTTCTGCATTTATAATTATCTAAGGAAAGGAATCGCATAACATTGATAAACAAATCAGAAGACTTTAAAATAAGACAGATACAACTCCCCATCCCCCCCAGAGTACCCATATTATCTGTTTAAGAAAAGTTTTCTTAACCAAATATGTGGTGATAAAATTAAGATGCTTATAGTAAACATACTTGTAAATATTTCTGGTAAAATACGCATCATGCAAACCTTTGTCATTGAGAACAGGGAACCTGAAAGAAAGAGAAAGAAGATATAACAATTAGGAATCTAGGGTTTGTTAAGAGGGATATTTTGGCCCTGGCCTGCTTGACTCAGTGGATAGAGCGTCAGCCTGCGGACTGAGGGGTCCCAGGTTTGATTCTGGCCAAGGGCACAAGCCTGGGTTGTGGGCTGACCCCCAGCAGGGAGTATGCAGGAGGGACCCCCAGTAGGGGGCGTGCAGAAGGCAGCCGATCAATGATTCTCTCTCATCATTGATGTTTCTACCTATCTCTCCTTCTCCCTTCCTTTCTGAAATCAATATATATATATATTAAAGGGGCATTTTGTGGAGGTAGGGTTGCCCTCATATCTTTAAATTCTTCTTGACCTTTGGTTTTATATGGGGTATTTAGAAGTTAGAATCAGTTTTGAGGATAGGCAAGACACAGAAATATATGGCAAAGTTTAGTATTGAGTGATTTTTTTTTTAGTATACTTAACATATGGCTGGGATTAGGCATCATTCCCTTTACAGAGATATATTGAAAGATGTAGGGCACATCCCAGCAGTAGCTTTAATCATTTTAAGGCTGCTAAGAGAACAGAACGCCATTGGAGTCCAGTAATAACACAGAGAATAAGGACTTCAAAAATCAAGCATTCTAGCTCAAGAGAGAAATTTCTTTAATTTATTTTATCCGTTAATTTGGCTGTCAAATATTTGCTTAAATACTTCCAAGAATGGTAAACTCATTACCATCTTGAGTCAGACTGATTTCTGACCAAAGAACTCTGAGTGTTAGAATTTTATTTCTAGTGTGTGGTAAAGTCTGCATCCTTGTAAAGTGTTAAATTATTTGGCTTCCAAACAAGTAAATGTTTATAATTTTGGAGAAAAAAAAATAGACAACTTTTTGAGCAGAGAACTTACTCAAAAGACAGTTCCCCACATCCTTTAGCCAAGTTTCATTAGTAGTTTGGGAACTCATAGATTATATTTTTATTAGAGGATGTCTAGGATATAAATCAGTGCAAGGCATGAGGTGACTGTTAGCATAAGAGTTTACTGTATATTAATGGTAAAATATGTGATTTTTATGTTTTTTAACTTTTACACGAAAAGAATATTTTTGTACAGATTCCTAATAAAGTCAGAACACTTATTCTGATTAGTGATGTGAGGGGATAACTTTCATTTATAAAAGAGTTTCAGAATTAGTATAGTAATTGAGTGAAAAAGTCCAGAGCCAAAAACAAGCTCTTAATACAATCTAAGAGAAACCTGGTAGAAGTTTCCATTCAGTGGGAGAATCACATGGTAGGATATGGGGAATATAGTTTTTTAAAGCAGTGTAAGCCTTGAAGCAAAAATATTCACAGAAATCCAGTCATGGACTGTTCTTTCTATACCATGATAAAGTTGTAGCCTTGTTGATGCTTAATTTGATTCAAGATCCAGGAGACCTTGGTATTTATAAACATTTCCTTAAACAAGGTAACATAACTTCATTCAGGTTGTGATGTAATCATTTTTATTTAACTTAGTAGAGGCCCGATGCATGAAATTCATGTAAGAGTAGGCCTTCCTTCCCCTGGCTACTGGCACCAGATTCCCTCTGGCACCCAGAACCTGGGCTTCTCTTGCAACCCCAGCTTCATCCGGAAGGTTGTCCAAAAGGATGTCTGGTCTAATTAGCATATTATGCCTTTATTATTATAGACATATATTTTTAAAGAAGGCATCATCTGGTACAAAATCCTAGTTGGAACTTAATTTTTTGCAATGTATTAAATGTTATTCCATTATTTTCAAGCTTTTATATATCTACTAGAGGCCTGGTGCATGAAATTTGTGCACTGGAGAAGGTTGTCCCTCAGCCCAGCCTGCACCATCTCCAATCTGGGACCCCTTGGGGGATGTCCGACTGCCGGTTTAGCCCTGATCCCTGTGGACTGCTGGCTCCCAACCGCTCGCCTGCCTGCCTGCCTGCCTGCCTGATTGCCCCTAATTGCTTTTGCCTGCCTGCCTGCCTGATTGCCCCTAACCACTTCTGCCTGCCAGCCTGATCACCTGCTAACCACTCCCCTGCCAGCTTGATCAATGTCTAACTGTTCCCCTGCCGGCCTGATTGCCCCCAACTTCCCTACCCTGCTGGCCCAGTCACCCCCAACTGCCCTCCCCTGCCGACCTGGTTGCCCCCAACTGCCCTCCCCTGCTTGCCTGGTCACCCCTAACTGCCCTCCCCTGCCGGCCATCTTGTAGCAGCCATCTTGAGATGACATGGGGCAGCCATCTTGTGATGACATGGGGCATCCATCTTGTGTGAGGACATGATGGTCAATTTGCATATTACCTCTAGTGTATATAGGGTTGAAAAGTCAGTTGTTGTGTTGTTGCTTCTTTGAGGGCAATGTGCCTTTTAATCTCAGACATCTTCAAAAATGTTTGTTTTAGTTTGGTTTTTAATAGTCTTGCTATAATGTTTCTGCTATTGTTAAATTTGTATTTACCCTGTTTGAGGTTCACATATCTCCTTGAATGCATGAATTTAAAGAAATTATAGTCATCAGCTTTTCAAATATTTCTTTTACACTATTCTTCCTTCTCTATGTGGGATTCTAGTTGCATGCATACTAGATCTTTCTATTGTGTTTCTTATCTCCTGAGCTTTTCTTTCTGTACTCTTTCTGTTTGGATATTTATAACTAACGTGTGTCTCAATTCACTAATCCTGTGTTCCTCTCTGTATAAATTGTCACTGTACTCATTAGAGTTCTTTTCAGACGAGATCGGGCGCATTCAGGGTGGTATGGCCGTAGTTCTTTTCAGAAATTAAATTTGCTCTAAAATTTTCAAGTATTAGCTTTTTATAGATTCTCCTTCCATGATAAAGTTATCTGTCTCTTCCTCTATATACTTAAACAATTGATTACAGTTATTTTAAACTATGAACTAATTTCACACACTTGATCAGCTGTGGGTCTGGTTCTACTGGCAATTGTTTTCTCTTGGTTTTTGTTCAGGTTGTTCTGTCTCTTCTCCTACTAAGTTTGGTTTAAGCACATATGGTAGCTTTATAATACATTGATTTAGCTAGGATTAACTGTATTTTCCTGAATTCCCTATCTTTTATGTTTAAAGTTAGTGTAGGTCACAAGGGAGATTCTTGGGGGGTGTTGGGTGAAAGAGAAACAGCATCCATTTTATAGCTTTCACACATTGCTGCTGATTTGATTCATCTCATCAGTGTGAAGAAGTAGCAAGGCCTGTAATTGCTGTACCTCCCACTGCATCCTCCTTCTACTTCTTTGTATTATGAGTTGTGTGTGTATGTGTTCTGTAATAAAGGGCCTTGACTTTTGTAAAATACTCTCCTCAATATTGGCAGGGGCAATAAGAATGTCCATCTATATGAGGTTCAAGCTCATTCATGTGGGTTCCAGCCTGTTCATGATCTTACTTTAATAACTGCGCTGCCTGTGGACTTTAAGCTCTAGCATCAAACATGGAGACAAGAGCCTTGTAGAGATTGCTTAACCAGCTCCCACATGGTATAAGCCAAGTTTCTTTAACAACTGATCCTGTTTCCATGGTTAAATCATGACTATATAGATATTTTATGTAAAAATTTTGTAGAGGCTCCAAATGATGTTAGTTCCCTTCTGAGAAATGGACTCTTCTTTCCCATAGGATACAGAGTCATCATTGATCTCAGCTTATTCCCGTGAAGCACTGGGTTCCATCATGGTAAAACTCAGTCTACCTTTGGGTCATGGCCCTCTAGAATTTTCAGCTGAGAGCTTGTTGTGTTCCTTTGTGTCCTTCCCTCTCATGTCCTAAACTCTATTCTTTGACTGTGGATGACAAAAGTTCCAACCTGAAATTCAGGGGTGTTCCATGTAGGTATTTATCCTCTTAATCTATGTGGTCCCATGATATAAAAAATATATATATATACTTTGATAAAAACGTCCATGTATTTGAAACTCCATCTCAGATTCTCTGAGAGTCCTCAAGCAATCCATTCTTGGGAGCAAAGCCTTTTTTCTCAGCCACCTACATTTCCAAATTAAGCAAATTCCCCCAGGTAAGAGTGTTTGCAGAAGCTAGGTTGCCTTTTGGTTGTTTCCCCCTCTTCATATCTTAGTTCCATTAGTACTTCTAGCTTTAGAATCCCCACATTGTCTTCAAACGGCTTATTTCTGTATTCTATCTGGCTCTTATTGCTGTTCTTAGTATTATTGTTAGTCTGTTACTAGATATTCCATTTCACTCATAAGACTTTTTATCAGTTTTTACTTTTGTGTATTGACCTCATTTTTAGGAGGGTAGACATTTTAAATTATTTTCTTTTCTTTGAGAAATGCACTTTTTCTTAACATCAGCTTTCCCTGGGAGTAATATAGTTATACCAACTTGTTTTTGGTTGGAATTTTGTAATATATTTTCCATCCCCTTAATTTGCCTATTCTGTATCCTTGTATTTGCAGTACTTCTCTCATAAATAGTACATGGTTTTGTTTTATATTTAGCCTAATAATGTTTTTCTTTTAACTGTTGCTTTTGTCCATTTATATTTAGTTAATAATATATTTATGTTTTACTCTAGAATTATACTATTTACTTGTATTTGTTCCTTCTGTTTCATGTGATAGTTTTCTCTCTCTCCTTTCTCATTTCATTTGTATTGTTGTTATTTAATTTACCCTCTTTTAGCCTAGAGTTATACATTTTTTTTCTATTCTTCTGGAGATAAATGGAAATATCTGTCTTTGAATGATCAAATTCTAAGTTTATTTGACAATCTTATCCTTATAAATATAACAAAATAATCTTAGAGTACTTTTACTCCACTCCTAATATCTATGTTTATGTTGCAACAAAGCTTATTTCTTTGTATGTATTTATTTGTCTCTCTGTTTTTCTATCTCTATCTGACTCTGCCTTTCTTCATCAATGTTTTTCTGTCTATACATACACACATGCCCACGTATGTTTGTTTCCAAAAATTACTTAGATTTACTTTGT